GGCAGGATATGCAGTCAGCAAGGAGTTTGGAGACCTAGATACAAGTCTGAGCTCTGCCATGTGCTAATTGTGTTGTCTTTGACAAGTCAGGTTTCTTATCTAAGGAGTCTCCCTCTTCACATCTATTTAATGGGAATAATAACATCTGTACATCTTGCCTTTCTGGGATCGTTACGAGGTTTAATGAGATGTGTGTGAAGGCGCCGTGCTGTGTGGATGTAACGAAGTAATATTTAAAAAAATATTATTTATTTTGAGAGAGAGAGAGAGAGAGTGTGTGTGTGAGTACGTGTGTGGGGGGGGGGGGGGGAGAGAGAGAAGGAGAGAGAGAATCCCAAGCAGGCTCAGAGCTGTCAGCACAGAGCCCGAGGTGGGGCTCGATCTCACAAACTGTGAGATCATTGACCTGAGCCAAAATCAAGAGTTGGATGCTTACGTGACTGAGCCACCCAGGTGCGCCTCAATAATAACCCTGTAAACACAGGCTCTGAGTAACAGTATGAGAGGAAAAAATTAAGGCCTTATTTATTTAAATTATACTAATCTTTGAGAAAAATACGACTACCTAGCAGAACATTATGCATATTTCATTATTCTTTTTTTTTTTTTTTTTGCAATAATCTTAAATGTGCAAGAGCCATATAAGTATTAGGTAAGAGAGATGTCTGAAGATTACCCACTGTGTGAGCCCGGGTCATGAAAACAGTGATTGCCATCCCAAAACAATTTCCAAGTGAAAATCAGGTTATCTTAGAGAATACTAGAAACTATAATTAAGAAGGCATATTGCTTGGAAAAAGAAGTGTTAGACTCCGGTTTAAGCCCGTGGCTTCACTCTTCACTGTGTGCAAGGCCTTGGGCAAATAATATTATCTCTACACGATGTTACAGGTATTTTCTAAAAAAAAAAAACCAAAATGAGGTTGGGGCGGGCCCCTGAGTGGCTCGGGTGGTTAAGCGTCCAACTCTTGATTTCCCTCTGGTCACAATTTCACGATTCATCAGATCGATCCCCACATCAGGCTCTGTGCTGTCTGCCCCTCCCCCGCTGAAAATAAATAAAATATTTTTATTTTCCCTCTCCCTCTCTCAAAATAAATAAAATATTTTTAAAAAATGAGGTCAGTAATGTCTGTCCAGTGGATGACTTAGGGTTATTGATTATGGTATTTGTTTTTGTGTGTCTCTTTTGGTTTCATGAGACAGTGACCACACACATAACTCAAACAAAGAGGTTCTAAACACAGGTGTGGAGTAGCAAAGGAATTCTTGACAATCGGGGTAGGAGGCGTGCTGGGCCTGGGCTTCACCAAGCACTTGGCATTCTCGGCAACTTGGCGATGGCATCTGTGAGTGCACCCTGGGACAGGTCGTTGAGTTGCTTCCTCTGCTTTTCTCTTCTTTTCATTTCCCTACCTACCGGCTTTTTTAACTTACGCTTCCCCGGAGCACAGGTCACTAGGTCCCTAGTTTTATCTTTCCGTGTCCTTGATGATGATGAGTTGTTTTCTTGGTGCGTATGTTGCAATTCAGAGTTTTTGAGAGAACACCCAATTCTTAGATCAGCTTATTTATTTCAGACGAAGAGATGGATTCCTGCTTAGGTCGGGAATGGCCACTCCTCCGACACTGGGCCCACCAGTGCTGCAATCAGCTGTCAGAGAGAGAAGAAGTTATAATCGTGGCCCCTTGGATGTGTCGCTTTAGCAAGGGTGGTGAGTGAAGTTCCCAGAAATGGGCAACACGGCGTTGTATGTCAGGGCTCAAGTTCTAGACGTGGCTCGCATACAAAGCCTGATTTTGACGGTTTCTAAAGATGTGGCGTTACTTAATCTTGCTTAGCCTCGGTTTTCTCAGCTGAAAAATAGATGTGACAGTTCATACTTCCTAGGAGTACTGCTGAGTCTTAAATAACAAAAGTAAAGCACTTAGCACAGTTCCTGCCACAAACTGAACCCTCAGTAAATGCGAGCTTTATCCATACCAGGAGCAGGTGCGTGGGCAGGGACCTTGAAACGGGTTTGGTACGACGTGTCAAGGTACTCCATTAACAACTGTTCACCACCTCTTTGTGTGGAGATAAACACTGACCCGTTCCCCGTCCCCTGGGATATATACCCACTTCACGTTCCTTTCCTGAAGACGGGTGGCTAAGTCAGGCTTACTTCGCCCTTCTCACTGGAGTTGAGTAGCTGGCTCTCAGTTTGGAATCAGTGTGCCCACTTCGTGCTGGATGGGGGTTGAAGGCAGCCCGATTTAAGAGCATAACAAGTGTCTAGGATGAAACCTTCTCCAGGGGACTAGCATGTGTACAGAACTGTTAAGGAATTTCTTCTGGCATTTCTCCATCAGGGTCTTGGGAAACCAGAGGTATTCACAAAGAGGAAAATACAGTGAACTAAAATATGCATGAACCGAGATGAAGTGCTTGATTTGGGATGTAGAAACCCCTTTTATTGTTACACAGCGATGCTTTATTTATTTGGTTTTGTTGGAAGATGGGCTGTTTCGCAGAAGTGAAGTTCATGGATAGCAGAGGTTTGCCCATCGCAGCTCTGAAACTATCTTTAACCCTTATTTCGTGGGAGTCTTCCTAAAACGTGTCACGTACTGCGCCTTCTTAAGATACAAATTTAAATGCTAGCACTTATTGAAACTTACTCCGTACCTGGCGTTATGCTTAGGTGTTTAACTGTCATTAATTTTCCCGACACCCCTGCGAGACAGGTACTATCATAAGCCTCCACTTTACCGACGAAGAAATGGAGGCTTACAGAGGCTGAGGAACTTGTCCAAGGTTACAGAGGGAGAAGTGATGGCATTGGAAATTGTGCCCAGGGCCTCTCCAAGCTCTTCAGAAAGTGGCCATGCTACTGGAGAACAATTTGGTTAATCAATGACCCTCAGAACTGTTAACCATTAAAGTAGATCTTTGGGAGTCTCCATGCACATTTCAGAAATGTGTCTGTTACTCTGAGCATCCCTTGGACACTTTTTTTTTTTTAATTTAAATTCAAGCTATTTCACATACAGTATAGTCTTGGCTTCGGTAGTAGAACCCAGTGATTCATCACTAACATATGATACCCAGTGCTCGTCCCAAAAAGTGCCCTCCTTAATGCCCATCACCCATTTAACACATATGCCCCACCCACCTCCCCTCCAGCAACCCTCAGCTTGTTCTCTGTATTTAAGAGTCTCTTATGGTTTGCCCTCTCTCTGTTTTTATCTTATTTTCCTTCCCTTCCCCTATGTTCATCTGTTGTGTGTCTCAAATTCCACATATGAATGAAATCACAGTATCTGTCTTTCTCTGACTTATTTTGCTTAGCATAATACCTTCCAGTTCCACCCACGTTGTTGTTGCAAATGGCAAGATTTCATTCTTCCTGATCGCTGAGTAATGTTCCATCATATATACCACATCTTCCTTATTTATTCATCAGTCGATGGTCATTTGGACTCTTTCCGTAATTTGGCTATTGTGGATAGCGCTGCTATAGACATTGGGGTGCGTGTGTCCCTTCAGATCGGCATTTTTGTATCCTTTGGATGAATTCCTAAGTAGTGCAATTGCTAGGCCGGAGGGTAGTTCTATTTTGAATTTTGTGAGGAACCCCCATACGGTTTTCCAGAGTGGCTGCACCAGTTTGGAGTTAGTACTCAATCTGGCAGCACCTGTTTTTGAATACTCACAGGTATTCCTCCATTCAGCAGATTTTCTTGAGCGCCTGCTATGTTGCTGTGGGCCTGGTGCATGCCTGGCACTCTGGAAGCAAAGAAATACGAGGCATGCAGCTGCCTTCAAGGGGGACACACATCAGTGATACTTCAGCCGGGGCAGTTGTGAAACGTGCCTGATGTGTGAGCAGCAAAACCTTGGGAAGGTGGCTCCTTTTGAGCCCACCTTTCAAAGAAGTCACCCTCTTCGCCATTATCCATTCTCTGTGGATGGGACTGAGGAGTGGAGGCCAGGAACCATAGGTACAATTTGATGTTTCCTTGGCTCCATAGAGGTGGAGAGAGGAATGGACAAGCTGTGTTTTAAAAGTAGTTCGAGCAGTCTTGCTTGGAAAAGAAGCTGTGGCCAGATGCTAATGGGCCACATGGAAGAGTCTGGTTTCTATAACCCCAGACTTTCTTAAGATGGTGGCTTATGAAAACAGGAAGTACATTAGAGCATCCGGTAGAAAAAAAAAACACTTTCAGTGGGATGTGTTTTCTCATTTGATTAGTTAATGAGTATTCAATGCACTTTCCAAGAGTAGCTCTCAAAAAAGACAGCAGTTTGGAGCATTGGCATTATTCTCACGAAAATCAAGTATATGGTTTTCCAAGGAGGTGGTTTAATATATCTTAATGATAACTTTCCTATTTCAAAAGTAATATGTTAATAGAAACGACTAACCACTTTTCTCATCCAGAGAGAACTAAGGTATTCGAAACAGTCTCTTCAGTATTACCATATCCATTGGTCTATCCGTTTGATCTCACTTCTTCTAGTTACCGTCCCCCCCGTTAGACATAACGTAGTCTCTCCGTCGTTCCTATTCGCCATTATGGGCGCTGTATATGGCACAGTGCTGCTAGGAGTTTCTGTGATGACTGATGTGTGACAGTTGTTCCAAGACCTTTTAAATTGGTCTTTTTTCTCTCTGATTCTCAGTAGATTGGCTGATGGCCATTACGTCTGGCTGCTTTCCCTGTGTCTTCTTATCACTTCTTCCTAGTATATTCTTTACCCTTGACAAAGTGTTAGCATGGCTAATGACTGGGCTATTTAGTACATGTTGTTAGATTAAGCAGGCTCTGAGGGGACAAAGGGGCGGTCTTTTGAATTGGAAGGCCACCTCTGCGATGGCTATTTTAACTGCCAGGAAAGCATCCCTTATCTAGAGAGATAACTGTTTTGCTTTATTAGTGAGGTCCAGCCAAATGACTTACTATTAGGCATATTTTGCCAGGAAGGAAAAAGAAAAAAAAAAAGAAAGGAGGGAGGAATGGGGCAAGGGAAGGAGGGACAAGAAGGGAACGGAAGAAAAGTCAGGTCATGGTGTTCTCTTGGCTCTCATTTTGAATGTCTCTCTTTTCCAATTTGTCGTTCACAGTGGATTAAACTTCATTGACTTGATGGTACGACAAGGGAACATCGATAACCCTCCTAAGACTCCCCTGGTGCCAGGATTTGAGTGTTCTGGGATCGTGGAAGCTCTGGGGGACAGCGTGAAAGGATACGAGGTAATGTTTTGGCTAATGACGGAAGAAGTAATACCTATCTGGAATCTGTTGCGATCAGAAAAGATGAGGCAAAAAATGTTTGCGAGAACATGTGTGTGTTAGGACTGTTGTCTTATTGTTAGGGTTTTTTTTTTTTTTTAATTTTTTTTTTCAACGTTTATTTATTTTTTGGGACAGAGAGAGACAGAGCATGAACGGGGGAGGGGCAGAGAGAGAGGGAGACACAGAATCGGAAACAGGCTCCAGGCTCGAGCCATCAGCCCAGAGCCTGACGCGGGGCTCGAACTCAGGGACCGCGAGATTGTGACCTGGCTGAAGTCGGATGCTTAACCGACTGCGCCACCCAGGCGCCCCGTTTTTTTTTTTTTTTTAACAGTGTTTATAAATAATAGATTTTCCACATACCCTGTGCATTTCTCATGCACCATCTTGGTTGCTCCTGGGAACAGTCTGGGAAGTGGCCCAGGAAAAGAAAGTTTCCCTTTTCTTCGTGTAATACAGCTGAACAAGACCGTGTCGCCTCGGGTCAACCAGGTGGGCATACTCCCTCACCCTGCACATGGCTCCCATCTACCCCGTACCTCAGGTGCAAAAATCGACGACACAACATAGCAGCTAGGGAGAAATAGCCTCTGTATTTCATAATTTGGTTCCCTTAGGTATCTACTTAAATGATGCATTTAAGTAATCTTTTATAAACCATTATTTCAGACACTGGGGAGGTGACACTTTTAAACGATGATTTTAAAGGCAAAGGGTAGAAGTACCTGTCAACGAAGCAGAACTGGCCGTGGGTTGATAGCGTTGGAAATAGGGCAACGGATAAAAAGGGTTATATTTTTCTGACTATTTTGTAAGTGTTTACAATTCTCTATAATAAAAAATTTTTAATCGATGAAAAGACATATGACCCTTCCTACCACGGTAATGCAAATCAAACAGAATCCGGTCTCTAATGACTGAAAAACTGTGGGCAAATCAATCGCACAAAACCGCAGCCGTTTGGAGTGAGGAAAACCAATGCCAATCAGATACAAGAGCTCTCGCTCATAACTTAAGGGCCTCCCCAGGGAGAAACGAACAGAGCTAACATGTGAGAACCCGACATAACCAGAAACATGGGCAAATCATTCTTTTTCAGCCTTACCACAATGCTGCGAGGTAAATACTGCTATTGTCCCTTTGGAGATGAAGTTCAGAAGGGTGCAGTTGTTTCCTGTGAGGTCAACACGAAGGTAGTTGAATCTGGAACCGACTCTTCTTTAATCCCATGTTCTTCGCCCCTGCTCCCAACCTGCAAATGCTGCAGGGCTAAATGCAGGAAGGAAAATTCTATAAATGGAATGCCAAAAAGCCCTTGGCATTGAATTTGAGACTGCTGCTCAGTCTCAAATATACTCTGCGAGTATTAGTATGCTCCAAATTCATTGTGACGAATGTCTGAAAGTCTCATCCCACTCATCATTTTGCCACTGGTTTCCAGATAATCGAGCAGAAAAGTGTTAAGAAAGAAGTAAATGCACTTTTTCCTTTCTTTCATATGGCTTTGCATTTTCGGTCCCCAGGTAAGCAATATAACCAGTGGCAGCACCCTACCCCTCACCGCCGCTTCCCTCCAGTGTCTTCCAGCTGGACAAACAAATGAAAGAAGCCACCTACAGGTTTCCAGTCAGGGTGTGGCTTGGGGGAAAGCCAGTACTAATTTTCCCCCTGGAATTCTGATTTAGTTTTTTCAATCATGTTGGAGATGGGATTTCATGAAACCACACACTGAATAGCTCTGTTGGTTTGATCCATTGCAAGGGAGGCTTGAAAAGTTGTCTCCAGAGGTACGGTGGTAAAGGAATAATTTGGGCTCAACCGCCCAGGACGAACTTCTTTTTATTAACAAAATCAAATAATGAGGTCAACTGGATATTTAAAACAGAAAACAACAAAAGAGCTGCCTACCTCTGGACTCAGGCTAGGGCTGATGTGATGGCTAAGCCACTCTTGCCATTTTCATGGAGCAAAGCTGAATAAGAGACTGGAGCAGTCAGCCCTGTGACAGTGTGATCAGCCCTGTCAAGGTGGTTAAACTACTCTTCATTGTCCTCTGTGTGGACACTGGGGGTCATCAGCTACTCCATGGTATTTTTGGATCTTCGGTTTACATGATTCAGTGCAAAAGAGAATGCCAGTGTTAGACCTTGGTTATCCTCTGGCCCAAGCGGTTGCATGTAAGATGGTAACTCTCAACAATCACCATTTGGCCTTCAACCCTTCCAGGGATTGGGACACTCACTGCCAGGGAATAGCCTTTCCTTTCCGTCAGTTCTTTCGTTAGACAGCCATTCCTTCTACTTCGTGAAATAGGTCTGTATTCAGTGTGCGATCATTGAGCTGGGAGTTCCATGAGGCCAGGAACCCATCTGTTCTCTCAAAGAGTCAACGATTGTTCTCTCCTCGCTTTACGTGCCCCGTGCCAAGAGTACGGCCTGTGTGTTATGTTATTTCGTCTCTGTGAGGACCCTTTCCTTACATCATACTCACTTTACAGCTGAAGAAACGGAGACTTAAAGAGTTACACCAATATTCCCAAAAGTGGTAGGTTCCTTGGTAGACACCTTTAGAAAAATAGGTCTCTGTAGCATGTACCTCAGGTGTGATGAATTAATCATTCGTATCTAGAGTCAGCCTTGGTAGACTCAACTCCTGGCTCAGCTACTCCCTAGCTACTTGACCTTGGGCAGGTGCTTTCATGTCTCTTGGCCTCAATATAAATGTCTGTAAAATCTATAATCCTTCATCTGCAATGCGAGCTCTTACACGCCCATCTCATAGGAGGCTTTTGTTGTTGTTTGTTGAGGAGGGGATGAAGAGAAATGCTAAGCTAAGAGAAAACAAAACAGGAGGCTCAATTGTAAATATATGAAACTAAAGCACATGTGTATGAAAGCCATTCATTGATGGAAAATTCGCTATGACCACAGCAATTTGAATACTGCATTTGAAAGTCATAGACTACAAGCAACTAACACCAAAGAGCAGAGTGGGTCAGCTTAACCAGCACTGAGCAGTTCATACAAGTCATCAATATCAGTTCACTTAGTTGTATTTCCCTTTAATAATGATATACTATGAAAAAGCTTACCATATCACCTGAACGACTTTAAAGGGAAGAATGCCACTCCCCCCAGTTTTTTTTTTTTTTTTTTTTTTTTTTTGCATGATGTCTGGCTATGTAAAAAACTGGTGAAAAGAACATGCATTCAGCCATGCCTTCATAGCGGTTTGTAAAGATCAGACGAGTTAAAACATGTGACACCCGGGGCGCCTGGGTGGCTCGGTCAGTTAACCGTCTGACTTTGACTCAGGTCATGATCTCCGGCCGGTTCGGAAGCCCGGCCGGGCTCTGTGCTGACAGTGCTGAGCCTGGAGCCTGCTTCAGAGTCTGTGTCTCCCTCTCTCTGCCCCTCCCCTGTTCACACTCTCTCTCTCTCAAAAAAAATAAATAAATAAACATTAAAAAAAAATTAAAAAAAACCCCAAAAACCAAAAAACACATGTGACACCCCTAGGATAACACCTGACATATAACCCATGTCCAAAAAGGTTATTCTTCATACTTGGCGGCATCTCCCTAGTTTGCTGTAAGTTTGGCTGTTCTTGTTCAGTCTCCTGCACTTAGGTTTCCATGGCTTCTTCTGATGCACCACGTTTCACCTCTACTGTGATCGGTAATCCGGTGCTAGGCTTTGATGCAAATATCCCAATGCACTAGCCTGGCAGGGAGTCCATGTGGAGTGGCAGAAAACAGATGAGAGGAGATAATCTAGCCCCGCCTGTGTAAACTGGCTTATGGCTTAGTTTTCCTTCACTCCAAAACAGAGATAGGATGAGAGGCTGAGTTGGTCAAATGAGATTCTGACACCAGTATTCCACGGTGTGTGATGTGGTGACATTGTATAGGAAAGCTTCAGAAGGCAGATGGAGAACCTGGCTTCTATGACTCCTGGCAAGTTTTCATAGATGGGCTTCAGAGCATCCGCAAATGCCTTGGAATTGGGAGGCCGGTGAGGGTGTGCATGTTTGAGGGTTTGGGCTTTCTTTTTGGGAAGGAATCTATAGTTTTCATCAGGTTCTTAAGAGTATTTGAGAAATCTTTCAGGAAAGAGTAGGAAGCTTCCATTAACCATGTGCTTCCTCGTGCCCAGATCGGGGACCGTGTCATGGCATTTGTCAATTACAATGCCTGGGCAGAGGTGGTCTGCACGCCAGTGGAATTTGTCTACAAGATCCCAGATGACATGAGCTTCTCAGAGGCTGCCGCATTCCCCATGAACTTCGTCACAGCCTATATGATGCTCTTCGAAGTTGCCAACCTCCGAGAAGGAATGTCCGTGCTGGTGCACTCAGCTGGCGGTGGTGTGGTAAGTTGGTTGGTTGTGCGGCCTCTTCCTCAGTATCATTATGGTGAAGGTGGACTGATACCCAGTTGACAGTGAGGTTCTTATGTGAGCTATTGTCCATCAGTAGGGATGATCTCTGTGGTTCTGGATGAAGCACATATGCATGGCTCATATAGATGATTGCGCTAGGGGTAGAATGAGCCTCTGGAGTTTGAAAAGTCTCCGAGATGGCATGTTAGGACTCAGTGGGTCTCAGGGATGGTTTCAGTCTTGGTGTCACAATGGACTATTATGTCGATCATTGTACAACGGCTTATAAGTCATGTACTACCGGTATGATCTGAAACACCAAAATGGTGGATGATTTACTTCTTCAATAAGTTGCCATGGATTCTAGGTTGTTCCCATATTAATGACATCCTTATTCATTTGTGTTCTGATCTATTTTCTTGAGTGGGAGAGGTGGATGGAGATTGTATTAGCACGCTGGGCATTACACATAAACCTAAGAATGTCTGTGTGAGTAGGTGAACCTGCTAATATCACCTGTCAGCTGTGGCTTTGGTAAGGGGAGAAATAATGGAAATACAAAGTTGCTGCCTTAGAGCTCAGGATGGCAGAAATTTCTTCCATGGTTTGGATGTGTCTCAGCCCCAGGCACTCAGTCCGTGTTACACGCCTGCCACGTGGTAAGCACTGTGTTCCCATCCCGGTCTACTGGAGTCAGAGTAGAGCTCTAGTCTTTCTGAGCACGAGAGGTATAACTCATTAATTCAACAAGTGTTTATTGAATACATTCTATGTTATGGATTCTATGGGTTGGAGATTAAAAAGAGAAGGTCCTGATACACCCTTGAGTAGGGTTTGCTCTCAGTATTGGTGATTTTGTGGTTTGATGAGCTCAGAAATGAACTCATACGCTTGGGTCTATCCATAAAGATGTTTTCCGTGGAGGTTCCGCTAGCATTCATTCTTTCTTTATCTGGGCTTTCTACAACTATCAAAGCCTTATGCAGTATAAAGCGCATTTCTGTTTTGCTCTCCAAGAAGACGAACTCACGTACAAAAACGTGAAGGCAAAGTCGTGAAACTTAAGGAATATCTTCAATCACCTTAGCAAATTTGCTGATGTCTTTTGACCATGAGTAAAGATATAATAAAAGCTAAACATCCTTAGAAAAGAAATGGATTTCAGTGCCAGTGAATCTACTAACAGCAAGCAAGCCATTTAGAATGCTGGCATTTATGATCTCCATGTGCTCAGCATACCAAGTGCCAGAGACTGGTTTTCATATTAACAACAGAAGCTCCCCTCTTTACAGTGGTGCCGGACCCCGTTCTGCTGAGAGCCAGTGTTTAAACATTGGCACTGATGATGTTTTCTTTCTGATGTATTTTTTTTTTTTCATTTTGAGTTTGTTCCTGGAACAAAGAGGCGTGCATCGGGGGCACGTGTCTGTCTCACAAAAGGGAAGAAAACCTTGGGAAATAACAAAAGTTCTTGTCATGCTTTATTCAGGGCTTCTAGACACTGTCACGGTAAAGATCCAAAGAGTGAAACATGTGAAGGCAAACCGGGGGAAGGGACGAGGAGGTAGGAAGAGAAGTCCGTGCCCATAATGCAGACTCTGACATCCTAAAGCTTTGCTGCGGACTTTTCCTTCCTAATAGTGAGCGCAAAGAGGGAAGAACAACCAGCCACGCAAGCTAGTGTTCATTTGAAGGAAACAAACCAGTTACTAGGGGAAACCGTACCCAGTACTGGGTTTTGAGACCAGGGAAATATTTCTCTGCAGTTTCTCATAAGGAATGTATGCAATACGCAATCAACTGCCCTCAACAATACTGGTGTAATACGTGCAGCTATTTCTGTGATGGCTTTTCTTATGGTGTACCCCTAATGTCATCTAGTGGCACCAAAATAAAGCAAAATTTAGTGAAAGCAGATACCTCGGGGCCAAAAGGATGTAGTCTGGCTTAACCTACGGAGAGTTTAAAGGTGTCATTGGGCGGCCCATCTCTCAGGCGAGTGGGTCTCCTTGAATGGTATTTCTCCCAACCAAGATTTGATCGGTGGGGTGGAGCACTGAGTTCAAGGTGACCGTTAAAGGAAAGACTTTTGACGAAGTGCACATCCATGTGTATCAACACTCAACCAAGCTGGGTGGAGTTGACACTCTCTAACAAAAACCAAAAGAGTCCTAGGGCGGGGGTGCCTGGGTGGCTCAGTCAGTTGAGCATCCGACTCTTGATTTCAGCTCAGGTCAAGATCCCAGGGTTGGTGGGATTGAGCCCCGCACCATGCTCCACAATGAACGGACACTGGCAGGATTCTCTCTCTGTTTCTCTCTGCTCCTCCTCCCTGCTCATGCTCTCTCTCTTTCTCCCTCAAAACAACAACAACGACAACAACAAAAAGGAGTCCTCACGAGGGGAAAGGAGAGCCCAGACCATTCATTGCCCATGAGAAGAGACCAATGGCTGCACTGCCCAGGCAGAGCTAGGTTCCTCCCAATAACACAACCAGCCACTATTCTCATGGTTGGGGGGGGGGGGGGGCTCCCTAGGGAATACATTTTATGTGTTATCTGTAGCATCCTGGGGAGGAATGGGGGCGCTTCTCACCACTGTGGGGCAAATCTGGTAAGCGCAGCCTCTGGCTCATGTTTGCTGTGGTAACAGGAGAGTGACCTCCCGCAGACGATCTGTGCTCTAATCCCTAAAGTGAGTACTTAACCTTACATGGCCAAGGAATTTTGCAAATGTGATTAAGGTAAGGACCTTGAGATGGACAGAAGATCCTGGATTGTCCAGGTGGCCCCCCATGTCACCACGAGGGTCCTTATGGATAGAAAAGGGAGGTGGAAGAGCCAGAAAGAGATTTAAAGAGGCTACACTGCTGACTTTGCTGATGGAGGAAGAGACCACAAGCCCAGGCATGTGGGCAGTCTCTAGATGGCTGGAAAGATAGGGAGATGCGTTCTTCTCCTGGAGCTTCCAGAAGGAACGCTTTGATTTTAGTTGAGTGAAATCCATTTTGGATTTCTGATCTCCAGAAAGAAACAGAATAAATCTGTTTTTCTGGAGCCACTATGTGTGGTAATTTACGGTAATGAGAAATGAATACAGCCACCTTCCCTGGGCTGCCTCCCTTCTCACCGTGGAGCGCGCACAGCCAGCAGCAAAACTAGGATTCAACACCCTACTCTGGCTGATGCCAAAACCTATTCTGTCTCCGCTCGACAGCCTGGAGTCTTGGGAGAACCCAAATCATTCCTCCCTTCATTTATTCATTTGCCTGACAGATGCTTGTTCAACCTCTACCCAGTGCTGACCGTAGGGCCGAAGGCTGTGGCCCAGGTGTATGTTTTCTGACTTGATGTTGATAGGATGACAGAGATTAGACCTAATTAGGACAAAGTTTCCCAGATCGAGTTAACATGAAGTTTGCAGGTCTCATGGCTCCAAGACCCCTATCTGATTTTTATCCAAGGCTGGGGAATTTGCAGACAGGACGTGTGGAACACCAGCCTGAACTGTGATTTCGAAGGACACTACTACGGCACAGCCGTCCCCGCCTTCTCCAAGGGGGGTACTTTCCAAGACCCGCCGTGGATGCCCAGAACCGCAGGTAGTACCAGACCCTGTGCAGACCGTGCTTGCTCCCACACGTACACACCTGTGACAAAGTTTAATTTATAAATTAGGCGCAGTAAGAGGTTAACAACCACAGCAAGAAACAGAACCGCTGCAACGTATATTGTAATAAAAGTTATAGGAAGGGGATCTCAAAATATTGTACTGTACTCACCGCTCTTGTGATGACGTGAGACGCTACGATGCCTACGTGGTGACGTGACGTGACGTGAGGCGAATGGCGTAAGCGTTGGGAGGCGGCGTTAGGCTCCTACTGAGTTTCTGATCATACGTCAGAAGGAGGATCACCTGCTTCCGGATCCAGGTTGACCGCGGGCAGCTGAAACCGTGGAAAGCAAAACCGCGGATAAGGAGAAACGCCTGCGTAGGAAAACAGTCCTGTCCAGAGTAGAATGCTTTCTCAGTGGAACTGCCCCAGTGTCTACACTGCTCTGTCACATCTTTGAAGGCACTTTGCCCCTGACAATAGCAGAACCAGATAAGTCTGAGAAGGTAATGCCCCTAATCACATCTTTAGAACCCAGTTGAAAACGGGCTTGCAACCTCTTAAAGGAAAAGGAACACAATAAGTAACCGAGTGGGGCTCGTGTCAGGAACTTCACGACGAGGGTTTTGCCGCCCATCCCGTTTAACGAGCCGCTAGGACTTGGAGCATCTCGATTGGGATGTGCTCAGTTTCTGGAGATCAGCGTGACCGTCACCCTCTGGGTATTTGCTTCCGTGGCTGACATTTGATGCTTTCCAGTTTTTGGCATCCTTTTACCTTTTCATCATCTCAGCTGAACAGAGAGAAGGCAGCCGGAGATGGGCCAGAGATCTTGGAAAGGAAAGCAGAGCTCAACTTTCAGACACAGTTCCGTGGCTACTGCTCACTTATTAAATTCTGTTCATTATAGATGGGGCATTTCCAGTGTTGTTCAAATCACTCTGAAGAAGAACCACAGAAAGGAGAGCCAGGATCTTTGGAGGGGGCACTCTGAGGCTCCCCTACCTCACGGGGTCCCCCCTAAGTGGCCGACTAACCATTAGCATTACACGGGCAGAGCCTGGGGAGAGTGGGGGTCCCCGGCGTGTTGGAGAATTTGGACATATCAGATAGCCATTCTATTTTAGCAGAAAAGACAACGACCATCTGCAAAATCACTACATGAGAATATTTTGTTGAAAACAAACCTGTCATTGATCATGGAAGGCACTAACATCTACCCGACTAATCTAGCCAGCAATCCAGGAATCACGGTGAGCCCGTCTCCTGCATGCGAGAAGTTTCCACATCCTTTGATTCGTTCCTTTATTCATTCACTCATCCAGCCCAGAGGTAGCAAGGTCCCACTCAGTTCCAGACACTGGATTAGGCACTAGGC